ATTCGTATGCCGGCCGGCTCATAAAACATATCACGCGCGATAGCCACGGCAGCGGCCTATTGCGGTATCGTTCATCGCGCGGCTTTATGGTGCCCCGTGCAACCGTCCCGCGGTGCCACGGGGCTGGCTTCCTCGCCAGGCTGAGAGGATACCTCTCTCCGGCCACTCGAGAAACGTCCTTTCTATCTTTTGGCATCTTCCCGAGCGGTTTCCGCGTGCGCCCCGCAGAAAAACCGGCCGGAAACCGATTTAGACGCATTGATACTCGACGCTCCGCTCTAGAGCCAATTTGCCTGGGTAGTTAGTCTGCCGGGTACGTTTCTGTTGGAATTATGACTGTGCTTGCTGGCTTTCAGCTAGAGATTTTGTTGAAGTATTGGGTTGTAACGTGGAATGCTTGATTTTTAGGATTAGCTTGAAATGGATGGCAATGTAGCGATAGTTTTGATGAGAATAAATTCTGTGGATTTTTCTGGTTGCTGGTTTCTCGTATGACTTTTATAGAAATCTGGTGTTCTAGTTGATAGGAGATTGACAATTGATGGGAGACAGAGATACCTGACATTAAGAGATTCCTAGATTTTTTCAATGGATTCCTGGTTGAGAGTACAATTTTGTATATACCGTAATAAGTAGTAGTAATTAGAGTTTGAATATTTGTTACTAAGTTGTGCGAAGCTTTTAACCAGTTAAGTGTGGAATTTAGTTTGAAAAATCTCGCATTGTGCGAGCAATAGTATCAAATAATGAAATGTATACTCGTTAAATGCAGGCCAAATGCACTTAAAGTATATCACAACGAAAAACTAAAGCGAAACGAAGAAGAACTACATCTTTGTCTCAAAAAATAAACAATCCATCGTTGGAAAACTTAGCACCATTAAGAATTTTAAGATGGTGTGTATACTCCTCAAACACAGTTAACTGGTTAATAGTTTCTTCGATGTTTACTTGATTTCTGAAGGTTTTTTCTTTGAGGAAGTGAAGGGTTTAAAGTAGTGAACGTGATAGATCCGGTAGATATGGGGGTTGTTACAAATATGTCAAAAATCTACATGTCTTCTGTTGAAACAGAACATGGAATATCGAGAAACCAAAGTCATTTCATACGTTGCAACCTAATATCCTTATTAACTTCCGTGGAATGAAAAAGAGACTCGAGAAGTGAGCGGAACGTGTTTATTGTAGAAGCGGATGTTTGTTTTGTCGAGGATATATTTATCGTAAGAATGAATGGTCGGTTCTCTCTGCGTTTTAGTCGCCTTTGGCTGCTAAGGTTCCGAGAGATCAACGAGAAGGCTAATTACCATGATCTCGTTAAA